TTTCTGCTCTTTTGTCCGCTTCTTGTACCTGCTCTTTCCTGCGTTCTTTTCGCGTTTGTCCCCGCTCGGACTTGTTCAGGTCTAAGAAGGATCTTGGTTCGTCTTTACTCCGCTCCCAATATGACTTGAATCGCTGTGTAGGTTTCGTCCCAGGAGCATTTCTGCATTCTGCTGTGGCGCTGATACTTCTCTCCAAGCGCAACGCGGACTCCTTCACCTTTTCATAAACTTCTCCTAGTTGCACTGGTTTCTAAAGCTTCCATAAGACAATAGCTAATATTCCAGATTCGCAAGCTGCTTGCTCAAAAGTTCCGCTTTCTGTAGCGCAGTCACTTCTTGCGGCACGTCTGGGTATGCTCTATTTGTCAAACGTTCTAATAGCCAACAAAATTCCGCAACTGACTGATCATCTCTTTGGGTCAACTTCCTCAAATCAGCCAGAGCCTTACCCTTTCAGTGTTCCCATCGACGCGCATGCGCTTTTTCATTGCCTCAACTACATCATCAAATGTCCCTTCGCGTACCTCCATCGGCAGGGTTTCAAATAACTTTGAAACAACTGTAAACGACTTGAATCCCTCCACTTATCTTTGGATACTTAATACCGAAGGAAGATAGGAACCTTTTTAAACACTCACGAGGTCTACCTCCAAAAGGTTGAACATCGGGTAACGCTATCGTTCTTATCCACTGGTGTGCAAAACTTAGGGACGAAAGCAACTTTCGATCACTGTGCCTCTGCCAGACAACATAGCTCGATGAAATTCATATCATATCAAGAGAGAACCTTAACGATATTGTACAGAAAGCAACTGACAGAAACTCGGAATAAGACGAATTGTTATGACATTTTTATTCAACCATGTCGATTACACATAAGTCTTCACGATTTATCCTGGTACTACAAAAGAAGTTACACGGATCCTAATAGGGTGTGTCACCACGGACAGCAATACATGCTCTGCACCGCGATCCCATACTCTCCACGAGGTTGGTAATGAGTTCCTGGGGCAGGGCATTCCACTCCTCAATCAGTGCATTTGACAATTGCTGGATCGTTGGTGCATTTGGTCGTGCTGCAATGCGTCTACCCAGTGCATCCCACACGTGCTCGATGGGATTTAGGTCGGGGGAACGGGCGGGCCACTCCATTCGCCGGATATCCTCTCGTTCTAGAAGCTCCTCCACCTGTGCTGTTCGATGCGGTCGCGCATTGTCATCCATGAAAATGAAGTCAGGGCCGATTGCAGCTCTGAAAAGACGGACATGATGTAGGAGAACCTCGTCGCAGTAACGCTGACTGGTGAGGGTTCCATGCTAAAAATCAAAAATCTGGAGGTCAGTACGGCCATGCAACATGATGCCTCCCCATACCATAACACCTCGACCACCAGTCACGTTCGACAATGTTTCCGGGGGAGTTGCGTGTTCCCACCTCTCGCCATATGAGGGTGCGTCCAGAATCACTGCTCAGACTGAACCTGCTCTCATCCGAAAAGAGCACACGGCTCCATTCCTCATCGGTCCATTCGCCATGCTCCTGGCACCACCGTAAACGGTCTCGCCGATGCGCGGGGGTCAAAGGAACACAACGTAACGGTCGTCGGGCGAAGAGACCACCACCATGCAGTCGTCTTGCCACTGTAGTGCGTGAGATGGCTTGCCCTAGAGTCCTGTTAAACGTCGTTGCAATAGCCGAAGCCGACTGACGAGGATCTCTTCCTGCTGCACAATGTAGCGGTCGTCCCTTGGTGTAGTTGTCCTTGGTCGGCCACCTCCTCGTTTAGTGCAGCTGTACCAAAGGTTCGGAACGCTCTCTATGCACGTGAAACAACGCTGTGAGCGATACCGAACTCCTGGGCTACACTCGTCATGGTTCGACCTTCTTCGAGCTTCCCTATGATCCTTCCTCGAGTGAGTTCATCCAGATGCTCTCTCCGGGACATGATGCATCGAAGGATACTATCACAGTTCTTTGCAGCTACTCGTTGATTGAGAAAAAAATTTTCATACCCATAGACTGCCTCGATTTGCGCGGTCGGCCATATTTGGCACTTCATTCAAGCTCTTTTCCACCGAAAAAAGTCTAGCTTCCTATGCATATCCCTTAGGCAAGTGGCAACATGCTCCCACACTTTCATTTACTTCCACCCAGTCATTAGTGTTTTATGTTACTTTATCCATCTCGTCCCTAAGTTTTGCACACCAGTGTATAATCACTCATAGAAAATCCAGAAATTTGGTCCTCGCCTGTGTCCGATGAAGGTCGTATTCTGGCTTCGTTCCTTGAGTTTTCGTTCGGCATAGTCCTTGAGGATCCTTGGGTCGATCGCATCCAGGTCGATGGCTGAGATTCCTGAAATGCGAGATTGGGCATTCGTTGTATGTTGCGACAAGTGCTTGATTCGTTACCGTTGTTGGGCCACCACAGGTCCGTCGTTTTCGCCTTGGCTGCTTGCCGCCCTCAACGAGTTGTCGCCCAAGTCTTCAACTCTTTTGCGTAGGCTCTCCACCTGCAATTCTTTTTGTTGTATTCTACAACATAACTGTGAATCACATTCTTGTAAGCTACTTATAGTAAGGAGCCTCGTCAACTGTATCGACTATCTGGTTTGTGGCACAGCCTAACTTTTGAGATGCGTGCATTACTATCGATTTCATGTCGTCGAAATCGCTAAATAACTGCTTCATTTGTTCGGCCTCAGAGATATTTGCTGTTCTCAAAAGATTAATTATCCCGTCAGCAATCCTTGGGCCACAGAAATCGCGCATTTCTTTCAGAATGGTGCGCACTATCTCTTTTACTAACGCGCTTTGTTCATTTACGGCTGCCACCACTGAATCCCGTTTAGGGTCATCCGTACGCATAGTCTTTGCTAACTCACTATCGCACTTAACAGCTATAGTAGCTATCTGTGACATTCTTGTTACAAAACGTGTCGAACTCCTTATCAAAGCTCACCCCCGCTTCCGCTCTGCACTCGTCCAGATCCATTTGTTCCTGGGGATCTCCACTGCAAGACGGCGTGCGTAACAGCTGCTCGGAACTTATTGACGAAATCATGCTCATCACGTCTGAAAGCAGATATAGTTTAGTTACCGTACTGCTCAGAGTCTACAGTACTTATCACGGCGCGAATCGATCACCAAATTAGTGAGTACGCGACAAGTAGACACGAGTTCGACAAAAATAAATGCTCCTCGCTTCTTGTACACTTGACTCGTCTTCAAGTAACGTCCCTCCATTTTTGACCAGTACCTCTTCTAGACTGCTGCCAGTAGTCATGACCAGCTGATCAATAGTTGACCCTGAGCCAACTAGTCCAGCTCCCTTTTCACTGTCCTTCACCGTGTCGTCACGGGATACATACCAGCCTGGATAGGAAGCTCAATTTCGCTACTTCCTATCCAGGTTGGTTCAACCTCGTTCTCAAGGAGAGCCAACTAATCCGGCTGTTCGACTCCCTTTCCACTCCTTTCACCGTGTCTGCACGGATACAGCTCGGGAGCTCGAATCTTTGCCCTTCTCTCCGAGTTGGTTCGACCCCGTTCTAAAGGGGAGCCAACAAATCCGGCCCTTTGACCTCCTTTTGCTGCCTTTCACCGTGTCTCCACGGGATACAGCTGAGAGCTCAAACTTGGCACCTCCTGTCCAAGTTGGTTCGGCCCCCAAGTTGCTACGGGGTAGTGAGTGACCTCGCTTTCCCCGCTGTGGTGTCAACCGGTTGCACCGGGAATCCACTAGTAAAAGTACCCTGAACAGAGGAGTGTGCCAAAGCCTTTGAAAGAAACTTTATCTGAAAAAAGAGAACGAGAAACGCAAAATTCAAGTAAAAACAGAATCAACGATAAAATGGTATCAGGCGGTGAGCGGAGAGTGACAAAAAGGAGTCACAGTGCTGCTGTGGGTCCACTATTTATACCACTTTTTGGCGGGCAAAGTATGCACTGGGGGGTCAAAGGCGAGATCAACAATGTACCGTGCTGGTACAGTATCCTAAACGTATCCAAATCATATAATCAATCTTCTTCTTCTTATTCTTCAGCGTTTGTCCCGCTCTGTAGCGGGGTCCGCTCTCCTGATTTTGTTACGCCATTTATTCCGGTCGAATGCCTGATCAGGGTGAGCACCAACTATCTTTCAAATCCGCGTGCAGCGTGTCAAGCCAACGTTGCCTGGGGCGTCCTCTCGGTCGTTTGCCGAGCACCTCGAGCTGGAGACCAGTTTTGCAGACGGTGTCCGCCTTCGCGCGAAGTACGTGGCCATACCATCGGAGACGAGATTCTCGCATTTTATCAACTATGGGAGCTACGCCAAACTTCTTGCGTATGTCATCGTTGCAAATCCGATCCATACGGGTGACACCGGCCGTCCAACGTAGCATTTTCATCTCCATCACACTAAGGCGGGCTTCGACTTCCTTGGTTGCAGGCCAGCACTCAGCCCCGTACAACGCTACTAGTCTGACCACAGTTCGATTTGAGGTGCACTGGTATGGTCTTGTCGCACAGAACTCCAGTCATCGAGCGCCATTTCGCCCATGCTGCACTCACACGAGAGTTCACCTCTGAGGTCAGACTGCCATCGGACACAATTTCTGATCCAAGATACTTGAAGGCTCTTTAAACTCCCGCTATGGGCCATAACCTGGTCATCGTGAATACGAAGTTTCGCAAACGAGACTCCCACCTTATCAGCTTCTACAGTGGGAGTGCCAGAACGCAAAGAGACTTTGCCCTTGTTAGACACCAAGGGCTCATCACGGACGCGAAGACGGTGCCGTACGAGACAGTTGCCACCCAACATCGCCCACTAATCTGCACGCTAAAGATCGCAAAGCTCCGGTCCAAACGGGTCGAGCGATGTGGTCCCGAGAGGATTAAATGGTGGCGTTTGAAAGAAAAGGAGGCAGCTGTGATCTCTCATACAGGGGGGCCAAAAAAAAGTCACTTCGACCGAGTCACATATCAGCAAAGTTTTCGCTGCCCAGACAGAGGACGTGGATACGAGTACCAGGGCGGAAGATACCCAAGATGTTCTTATAAGCAGGAGCTGGCTCTCGACCCAAGATGTTCCTTATAAGCAGGAGCTGGCTCTCGCCCATCACCTTCATGTACACCAAAATATGAAGTCATCTCCAGTCGCAGCCTGACTGGAGAAGACCTTTGGAATTCATGTCACCTCCAAACAGCTGCGAAACTTCTAGTGTGGAGTCACCCATGGTAGCTACCTGGAGACCAGTACTCTCAATCTGGAAGACCTCCAACATCGAGCAGCTCCGACAACGTCGCTACGGTCTAGGACATCATCTTCACGGCAGTCGCCAAGGCGCGGGTTGATGGTATGGACCGGACGCACCTGGAATGGAAAGACCAATATTTTCTTCGTGGACCCCGGGCTGAAGCTGAGCGCTGGCGGTTACATCGACCAACTCAAGAAGAATATCTTCCCCACATGTCGTCGCCCGTACCTTCTTGGAAACTTTGTACTGCTACAGCATTGGGTGCCACCACATGGAATCGAAGGGCGTTGGAGAAACTCTCGCCTACTTGGAATGGAAGGGGCTGAGTACCTAAAGAAGATGGAATATCCAAGTAGGTCACCTGACCTGAATCCCCTCAATTACCCGGTTCGGGCGGAGTTCAATAGGGTGGTCTAGAAATCGACTATCTCGCTGATCTCAGGCACCACATCGCGGTCGCGTGCCAGAATCTCTCGATGGCGCTCCTCCAGAAGGCTGTGGCGGAGTGTCATGATAGTATTTAATATGCTCTTTAATATGGTGGTAGAAATGTCCGATCAGATTTATAAAGTGTAACTTATAGCGCCTCGAAAGTCAATGAAGCAAAGTGACTTTTTTGGCCCCCCTGTATAAGACTTCCCACCATCACGACTGTTGATGAGATCTGGAAAAGT